TATGTTGACCTTGCTCGAGCAACGAGGATACTTCACAGGCGCCTCGGACCAAAACGCATACAAGCATCTTAAGGGTTTTGTGGATACCTGTTGGGGGAGCAAGCAAACGAATGTATCTGAGGACAAACTTAGATTGAGGCTTTTTCCTTTCTCACTTAAGGGGAAAGCGCTCGATTGGGTGGAGAGACTCCCCAATCATTCCATCACCACTCGGGATGAGTTGGTGGACAAGTTTATTGCAAAGTTCTTTTCGCCAAGTCACATTGCGGCTCTTCGGGACGAGATTCTAGCCTTCAAACAAGAGCCCACGGAGCCCTTGCATGAAATTTGGGAAAGGTTCCGGACAATGGTGAAAGAGTGCCCCAACAATGATATGAACGACGTGATGATCCATCAGACTTTCTATCGGGGTATCAATATAACCAACCAATGCATAGTGAACCAGTTGGCAGGTGGAAATTTTATGAAACTACCTTATGATGAGGCCTGCGATGTTCTGGATGAAATGGCTGATACTTCTTCGGCATGGCAAAGCCGTGCCAATGTTCCTCAGGGTGATCCTAATGTTATACACTTGCACAATGAGTTACATGATCATGGACAAGCCATAGCTGAACTTACAACAACAATGAACCAGTTGGCCAAAGCACAACTTGAACAAGTACAAAACCCAAGGCAAGTGAATGATGTGGAAGGGGTGAACTTGATGAGGAGAAGGAATAGAGGGCAACAACAACCCCAAGAGAACTTTGATAATTGTGATGATGGAAGCGGTGGTTATTCTAATGACGGGTATGACGATCAAGAAGAAGTAAAATATGTGAATAACTTCCAAGGCAATAGAGGGAACCAACAATGGCGCCCTCAAGGCAATCAAGGTAATTGGGGTGGAAACAACAACAATTGGAACAACAATAACAATCATGGGAACAATTGGAACAATGATGGGAATCAAGGCAATTGGAATGGAGGCAACAACAATTGGAAAAATGGCAACAATGGCGGGTGGAATAACAACCAAGGCGGAAATCAAGGGAACCAGGGGAAAGGCTTTCAAAGGCCCCCAATGTATCAATAACTGAACAACCCTCCACCATTTCAATCTCAAGGGTCGAGTTCTTCAAGCAATGATATGGGTAGAATTGAGAATATGTTCGAGCAAATGATGAAGAAGAACCAAGATTCGGAAGCCCAACTAGTCTCCCACAACATTTCTATCCACAATTTGGAAGTACAACTTGGGCAAATTTCGCAGTCTCTTAATACTCACCCGAAGGGTGCACTACCAAGTGATACGGTGGTGAACCCCTAGGGTGGGCACAACAACCAACATGTGATGGCCGTGATGACTCGAAGCGGAAGAGGTGGTGATGTTCAAACCTCTAGAGGAAATCAAGTGGTAGTTGATGATGAGGAAGTGCAAGAAGATATTGCTCCATTTGTTGTTGATGATATTGTGGATCCTAATGTGAGAAATGAGGTGAGAATTGATGTTGAAGAGGGTGATGAGGAGACCCAAGAGGCCATGAACACGTCTAGGGAACACATTATTGACATGTCGGCGCCCGAGTTGCCAAAGGCTAAGGCACCTTTGCCTAGGCCTCCTCTGCCATATCCTCAAAGATTAGCAAAGCAAAAAGGGGATAACCAATTTAAAAAGTTCATTGAGATGATGAAGAGTTTGACCATCAATGTCCCATTGGTCAAAGCTCTTGAACAAATGCCGGGGTACGCAAAGTTTATGAAGGACTTGGTTACCAAGAAGAGATCTATGGAGCGTGAGACCATTAAGATGACGCACCAAGTGAGCTCCATTGTTCATTCTATGGCACCAAAGTTGGAGGATCGCGGCGCCTTTACAATTCCATGCACCATTGGGAGCGCCAATTTTGCCAAGGCCCTTTGTGATTTGGGGGCGAGTATCAATCTCATGCCATATTCGGTATTCAAAACTTTGGGTATCGGACAACCTCGTCCAACCTCTATGAGACTTCAAATGGCGGACCGATCTATAAAGAGACCTTTGGGTATAATTGATGATGTCCTTGTGCGGGTCGATAAATTCATCTTGCCTGCCGATTTCATGATCCTTGATTGCAAGGTGGATTTTGAGGTGCCGATTATTCTTGGTAGGCCTTTCCTAGCTACGGGGAAGGCCTTGGTTGATGTTGAGGCGGGAGATTTGACTTTCCGTGTTGGTGATGAAAAGGTGGTATTCCATATATGCAAGTCGATGCACCAACCAAATAGCACCAAGGTGTGCTCGTTTTTTGACATTATCACGGCGGTGATAGTGGATGACACAGTGCCATGATGAATGTTGAAGACCCACTTGAGGCTGTGATCTTGAATATGGTTGTTGAGGATATTCCGGAAAGGGTGGAGTGCGTGAATGCTCTTCATGGTATGGGCTCGTATTCCTATGAGCCAAGGAAGTTGTCTCTTGATCTTGAGAACCGCAAAACTAAACCTACCAAGCCATCTATTGAGGAGCCACCGGTGTTGTAGTTGAAACCACTTCCTCCTCACCTCAGGTATGAGTTTCTTGGTCCTAATTTCACTTTGCATGTTATTATTTCTGCTTGCTTGACTAACGTGCAGGTTGATGCCACCTTGGCGGTTCTACAAAAGCGCAAGCGGGCAATTGGATGGACTTTGGCCAATATTCGGGGTATTAGCCCCGCATTTTGCATGCATAAAATTATCTTAGAGGAGGATGCGAGGCCTTCTCTAGAGCATCAAAGGCGACTAAATGAAGCCATGCAAGGAGTGGTCAAGAAAGAGGTTATTAAGTGGCTAGATGCGGGTGTGGTGCATCCAATCTCCGATAGTTCATGGACCTCTCCGGTCCAATGTGTTCCAAAGAAAGGTAGAATGACAGTGGTGACAAATGATAATAATGAGTTGATTCCGACTCGTACTGTGACGGGTTGGAGGGTTTGCATAGACTACCGAAACCTGAACAAGGTGACAAGAAAGGGCTATTTCCCATTGTCGTTCTTGGATCAAATGCTTGACCGTCTTGCGGGCCCGGCATACTATTGTTTCTTGGATGGGTATTCAGGTCATAATCAAATCCTCATTGCGCCGGAAGATCAAGAAAAGAAAACATTTACATGCTCTTATGGTACTTTCGCATTCTCGCGGATGCCGTTTGGGTTGTGTAATGCACCAGCGACCTTCCAACGTTGCATGATGGCGATCTTCACTGACATGGTGGAGGACATATTGGAGGTCTTCATGGATGACTTTAGCGTAGTTGGGGATTCCTTTGGTGAGTGTTTACAAAACCTTGATCGTGTTTTGGCCCGATGTGAAGATACTAATTTGGTGCTCAATTGGGTGAAATGCCACTTTTTGGTGGAAGAAGGAATTGTATTGGGGCATAAAATTTCAAAGAATGGGATTGAGGTGGATAAGGCCAAAATTGAGGTGATTTCGAGGCTTCCTCCCCCTAACTCTGTCAAAGGGGTGAGGAGTTTTCTTGGGCAAGCGGGTTTCTACCGAATATTCATCAAAGACTTCTCTAAGGTAGTGAACCCGTTGTGCAAGTTGTTGGAAAAGGATGCAAAGTATGTATTCGATGAGAAGTGCATGGAGGCGTTTGAGCTCTTGAAACACAAGTTGACGACTACCCTTATCATTACCGCACCCAATTGGAGCTTATCCTTTGAGCTCATGTGCGATGCTAGTGATGTTGCGGTGGGGGCGGTCTTGGGCCAGAAAATCAACAAGCTATTCCATCTGGTGTACTATGCTAGCAAGACGATGAATGAGGCACAAAGAAACTATACGGTCACCGAGAAAGAGTTGCTTGCTATTGTGTTTGCTATGGAGAAATTTTGCCTGTACCTCATGGGGGCCAAAGTGATTATTCATACCGATCATGCCGCCCTAAGGTACTTGATGACTAAGAAGGATTCAAAAGCAAGGTTGATAAGATGGGTGCTTCTTTTACAAGAGTTTGACTTGGAGATAGTGGATAGAAAGGGTACCGAAAATCAAGTGGCGGACCACTTGTCTCGTTTGGAGGAGGAGGGGAGGCCTTCGGATGGCCTTGAAATTAATGATTCTTTTTCGGATGAGCAATTCCTTTCCGTCTCTATGCTTGACATGCCATGGTTCGCGGACATCGCAAATTATTTGATAACCGGTGTGATTCCGTGTGAGCTCTCTTCTAACCAAAGAAAGAAGCTCAAACGGGATGCTTTGGACTTCTATTGGGATGAGCCTTATCTCTTCAAAATTTGCAACGATGATGTAATTCGCCGGTGTGTGCCCGAGGAAGAACAACTTAGCATTGTGGAAGCATGCCATTCTTCGCCCTATGGTGGCCATCATGACGGGGCTAGGACGGCGTCCAAGGTATCGAGTTGTGGTTTTTATTGGCCTTCATTATTCAAAGATGCCAGTGATTTCATAAAAAGGTGTGATGAGTGTCAACATGCGGGTGGAATTTCGAAGAAGGATGAGATGCCCCTTAACACGATTCTTCAGGTGGACATTTTTTATGTTTGGGGGATAGACTTCATGGGCCCGTTTATGAGTTCTTGTGATAATACCTATATTTTGGTAGCGGTGGATTATGTGTCGAAATGGGTTGAGGTCGTGGCCTTGCCTAACAATGAAGCTCGTAGTGTGGTGGCGTTCTTGAAAAAGAGCATTTTTACTCGATTTGGCACACCCCGTGCCATAATTAGTGATGGTGGCTCTCATTTTTGCAACCTAGCCTTCGATTCTTTGCTCTCCAAATATGGGGTAAACGACAAAGTGACCACTCCGTATCATCCTCAAGCGAGTGGCCAAGTTGAGGTTTTGAACCGGGAAATCAAGAGTATCCTTTCCAAGACTGTCAATGCAAATAGGACCGATTGGTCTAAGAAATTGGATTATGCTCTTTGGGCGTATCGTAGTGCTTTCAAGACTAGGATTGGTATGTCGCCATATCGGTTGGTTTTTGGTAAGGCGTGTCATCTTCGGTGGAATTGGAACATAAAGCAATGTGGGCTTTGAGAAAGTTGAACTTGGAATGGGATGTAACGGCTAATCTCCGGGTTGAACAATTGAATGAGCTTGATGAGTTCCGGTTTCATGCATACTCTAGCTCATCCTTGTACAAAGATAAAATGAAGTATCTCCATGACAAGTATGCCCGAGGAAAAGAGTTTAAGGTTGGTGACATGGTGCTTCTCTTCAATTCTCAGTTAAGGTTGTTTCCGGGAAAGTTGAAATCCAAGTGCAACGGTCCTTTTGAGGTGGTTGGTGTTACACCTTTTGGTGCTATTGACCTTAAAAACAAGAATGGCGAAGTGTTCCGCGTAAATGGGCATAGGGTCAAGCACTACTTGGGAAAGTTCGATGATAGCCATGTGGTGGTGCTCCTTCACTTGAAATGATTGTGATGGTAACTCGAGTCGTGCCGCGACGTTAAATCGGGCGCTTCTTGGGAGGCAACCCATGTCTTTTCATTTGTGCAATCTTTTCTTTTGTAGGATAGGATTTTTGAGCTAATGGTTTGTGGAGTGTTGCACGTTAGATGTGAATCAATGCACAAAAGCTAGGAGAAAAAGTGAAGGGACTCTGTCCAGTGCCTGTGCGGCCGCATCTCATTATTGTGCGGGCCACATAGGGTTGCCTAAATAGGCTTGATTGCAAAAAGACACCTACGCGGCCGCATGGCATTTTGGCGCGGTCCGCATAGGCCAAAAGGAAAAGCTGGCACTGTCCGATAAAATCTTAGCGCGGCCGCATAGCAAATTGATGCGGGCCGCATTGTTGTTTGGCTGAGTAAGTTGAAAATCATCCATGCGGCCGCATCACATTTTTGTGCGGCCCGCATGGGCTAAGTGACATCTTCAGGAGGAAAATCCTGTGCGGACCGCATGCCAAAATGGTGCGGCCGCACAGGTAGGTAGGTCTGGGCCCCACCGTTGTCTATAAATAGACCGGTGGGCTCACTATTTAACCTTTTTGCAAATTGTTCATTCTAAAACCTACCAGCTACTGTTCATCCTTCATCGTTCATCTGAACATCTTCAAATCATCATCTGCATATACCTGGTAACATTCTTTAGATTCATGCTTAATTTTTGTTTAATACTTAATTAATTTTTCATGTTTTTCATAACTAGAGTAACTTCTTGGTTTTTCTTTCTTCTTTACTCCGTTTGCTTTCGACTAGGTATAGGTTCTTTCATAATTTGTTCATGAGCATGGGCATAAGCCACAACATTGTAAAATCGAGTAGGGATGAGAACCTAGGGTTAGGTTGAACTCGTGTTTTCTATTTTCAAAAAGTCGTCTCTGATTGAAAGGTTTGCCCTAGGCAGCCGCACCAAAATGGTGTGCGGGCCACGTGCACTTTGAGTTTCTAAGGATCCTCCTCGCGGCCTCAAGGCATTTTTATGCTGGCCGCATGTGCTCCTCACGCGGCCGCGGTCCAAAATTGGGCGGACCGCATTGGCCTTTATCAGATGAGTTGTTGTTTTGGAACTTTAGTTGCGCGGCCGCATCCCAAATTGATGCGGGCCGCATCCCTCTTGTCTGAGAGATGGGAAATCTTTGAATTACCCGTGCGGCCGCGATCCATTTCCATGCGGACCGCATGGCCTTTTGTCTGAAAGTTGGTATTTCTTGGCAATCACCTGTGCGGGCCGCATCCGTTTTGTTGCGGCCGCACTAGGTACCCATGCGAGCCACGTCCACTTTTGTGCGGGCCGCATGTGGGGTTCTGAGACTGCTCACCTGAGTAGTCCTTGCTAGTGCGGGCCGCATGCCATTTTGGTGCGGCCGCATCTGGCTAAACTGGAACATCTGCTTTGTCTTCCATTTTGAATTTGCAATGTATAATGTCTCTCATGCTTGCACTAACAACGTTAGATGGTGTTCTTATGCAGACAATGCCTCCAAAGGGAAAACAAGTACAAAAAGGGGGGGAAAGGTAAACAACCATCAAAGGGGAGTGAGCGTAAAACAAAAATGGTTCGGAGAGTGATAAGGCTCACCCCTCAAGAGAAGAAGCAGATGAAAGATACAAGGAAGATAATTAGGGCTGCTGACAAAGCGGCATCTGATTCCTCTGGCTGTGTGTATGCCCCCTCCAAGAGCATTACCTCAGAGTCCATTGCTTCTCTGAGGTCAATTCAAGTCCCAGTGCCAGTCTCCTCATCTCCAGAGGAAGAACAAGAAAATATAGCCTCATCCAGGAAGCGGAGAAATGTAGTGTCGGACTCATCTGGGGAGTCTGAGGGAGAGCACTCTTCTTCCCCCATAATGTCATCATCAGGGGAAGAAGGTGCAGCAGAAGAAAGTGAGGGAGAGCGGAGCGAGGGTGGTGAGCCTCAAGTCGAGAGACTTGAGAGGACGAAGAAAGAAGAAGTATGGAAGGAGAGATTTGTGAGCCCGATTGCCTTCAACAAGTTTCGTACTTGGTGGCCATTGAGGAAGCTAATCCCGGAGAGGAGGATTATTATTTCTTACTTGCTGCCGCACAATCCTCATGTGCATGCCCAATTCATCACCAGAAAAGGGTGGGGGCATTTCTCTGATATGGTGGACATGGCCAATGAGCATATGGTCAAAGAGTTCTACAGCAACGTCCACCACATAGTCCAGGGTGCCACAGCGACCAAAGTGAGAAATCAGGTTATTGTGTATGATGGCAAGACTCTGAATGAGTTTCTGGAATTTGATGACGAGGATGAGACTCAGTACTTGGAGAAATTGGCATTGGACCAGGGGGCGCGCCCATGGTTAGCTGAGATCATTGCAGCTCCCGGCACTGTCCCGGCATGGTTGGCCCCTCCAACCAAGATATTCAGGAACACCCTGAGTTTCGAGGCAAGAGGGTGGCTGTCATTTGTTTGCTCCAGGCTTGACCCGTCTACTCATGACAACATAGTCCCAATCGAGCGTGCAGTTCTAGTGGCTTCCATCATGGCAGGGTTCCCGTTGAATGTGGGGAATATCATGCAAAGGGCAATCAACAGAGCAGGGCGGTCAACTGACCACAATTATCCCTTCCCCAACACCCTAACTATGTACTTTGATGACATGGGGGTAGACAAGAAACATTATGACACGGAGGTACACCCCATGGGTCCATATTCATGGTATGCTCAACAAGGGCCGGACAACCCCAAGGGCACCAAGAAAGGAGAGGCATCCACTTCCACTGCAGCTGGCTAGTCTGATGAGCCAGTTGCATCTGTACAGCTACCCGTACCTCCTTCCACTTCTAGGGAGCCGGTGGTCCCGGTGTCCAAGACCTATGGACTGACTGCATACCAGATCACCTAGACTTTGGCTAGTGTGAACAACTAGATGTCGGCTGCGACTTCCAAGTTGTCCACCTTATCTACTGTTGTGGAAGCTCAGAGGGCACCTGTCACTGTTGAGGTGCCCACTTCTTTGGCGGATACATTGAAGAAAATCCTGGAGAACCAGGAAACCATGATGAAAAAGCAGGATGACTTAGAGGAGGCAGTAAAAGCACACAGCAAGGACCTTAAGGAGCTGGAGAAGGAATACAGGAAGCTGCGGAAAGATAGGGCCTCCAAGGATTCTGTGAAGAAGTTGAGGGTAGATGTAGACAAAATTCTGAAGGATTAGTTGCCCCTTGACTTATTGCTTGGAGAGCCAGTTGATGAGGCAACAGCAGCCCAGCCACAGCCACAGCCGCAACCTGAGGGAAGAGTGAGGAAGAAGAGGAAGCTCCCAAGCACTGAGGGAGTAGTGATAGAGGTGGCCCCAGCACCAGAGGGCTCATCTGAGCCCAGCAGTGGAGTAGCAGCTGAGATACCACCACCTGAGTAGACAGTTGATGTCCCGGCACCACAGCAGCAGCAGGTTTGAGACCGATCTAAGGTCCCCACCGGTACAGAGGGCACAGCTACCACTGAGCAGCAGACTGCGGTGGATCAGGCTTGAGGGGCCATTTCTCTTCCTTCCCCCTTTATTTTGATGCTTATTTGATAGTTAGCATTGGGGACAATGCTAGCTTTTATTCGTGGGGGTGTGACCCTACTTTTTGTTATAGATGATTGTATATATACTTTGATTATTTACTTTTTACATTTTGATAGATAGAGGATTTGTATATAACTTAAAATTCTGAACTCCCTCTAGTTGTATATTCTACCTCCCTTATGTATATATTTATTTGGCTCTCGATTGAGTTTTCTTATTATTCTCATTATTTTCATAAAAAATTTTCATTTTAGTGTTAAAGTAGGCTCGTAGCTTCTTCTCTTGGTTTGGTTTTTGTGAAATAAGCCCTTGGTTTTCTTAATGACACGGTTCTTTCCAGGGGTAGAATGTTGTGTGAACCGGGTGACTCTTCCCAATGATAGATAGCGTGACAACTTTCTTAAGGGTTGAGTCAGTTCTTTTGTTTTCTTTCTTTTTCATTTTTCAAGTTCTTTTAGTGAAAGTACCTCAGGCGACGCTTCACTTGGGCCTAGCACATTTGCCTTCGATCTTATGATCAAAGACATCAAGTTGTGGTTAGGATGGTGAAAGTCATGGCCTTGAGACTCTTGTGTTGACCAAGCAACCGTCATATAGTCGTGTGAGGCCATTGTGCATTTATATCATATCTAAGGTCGTTGTGGGCCCTCGACTCCATCTTTGGCAATCCTTGAGTGTTAGTGTGGCGAGAGTTTGATTTGCGAGCCCAAGTGCCGAGCTAATGGTCTAGAACTTGCCCTGAATGTTTGTTGAGGCAAAATCATAGGAAAAACTTGAATTGAGAAGTGATTGTAGGCTCTCTTTGATCCAAAAATGCTATCTCAACCAATTTCATGACCCACCAAGGCAAAGATCCCTAGTTCACCCCTTTTGAGCCTTAAACCTTGTTCCTTCAAACCAAATTATATACCTATATCCGTTCTTAATAAAACCTTCTCTTGGCACCCAAATCTTCCCTTGAGTAGTGACGAATGTCTAAGTTTGGGGAGAGAGACAAGAAAAGAAATCATGTGGTTAGGTACAAAAGCAAAGAAAAAAGGAAGGCAATGAAAAAGAGAAAAAGACAAAAAGGAAGTCAAAAAGAGAATAAGAATCAAAAAGGGAATCAAAAGTACATCGATAAAGTGAAAAGGTTGAAAGAGGTTGAAAAAATAGAAAAAAGGAGAACAATGTTTTAAATGTAAAAGAAAGAGTGACATCATGTCTCTCTACCCCCTTTTGAATAGGTGAAATGCATATTTGAGTCACGAAAGTGAGCAACAATGAAACAAAAGAAGCGCTCAAGGGAATATTGAACCAATGTGAACAATTGAGCAACCCATACCCAAAAGCCTTCACAATGACTCCTCAAAAGTCCTACATGATCTTAAATTGAGGAAAGCCTACATTAGTGGATACTTACATAAAGGGCAAGCATATGGTACTTAGA